CCGTAGACTCAGGAACTTGTAGAATAAATTGTCCGTAGACTCAGGAACTTGTAGAATAAATAGTCCATAGACTCAGGAACTTGTAGAATAAATAGTTCGTATACTCAGGAACTTGTAGAATAAATAGTTCGTATACTCAGGAACTTATAGAATAAATGGTCCGTAGACTCAGGAACTTGTAGAATAAATAGTTCGGAGACTCAGGAACTTGTAGAATAAATAGTTCGGAGACTCAGGAACTTATAGAATAAATAATGCGTATACTCAGGAACTTGTAGAATAAATAATGCGTATACCCAGAAACTTGTAGAATAAATAGTCCGTAGACTCAGGAACTTGTAGAATAAATTGTCCGTAGACTCAGGAACTTGTAGAATAAATAGTTCGTAGACACAGCAGCTTGTAGAATAAATAGTTCGTATACTCTGGAACATGTAGAATAAATAGTGTGTAGACTCAGGAACTTGTAGTATAAATAGTTCGTAGACCCAGGAACTTGTAGAATAAAAAGTTCGTATACTCTGGAACTTGTAGAATAAATAATGCGTATACCCAGAAACTTGTAGAATAAATAGTCCGTAGACTCAGGAACTTGTAGAATAAATTGTCCGTAGACTCAGGAACTTGTAGAATAAATAGTTCGTAGACACAGCAGCTTGTAGAATAAATAGTTCGTATACTCTGGAACATGTAGAATAAATAGTGTGTAGACTCAGGAACTTGTAGTATAAATAGTTCGTAGACCCAGGAACTTGTAGAATAAAAAGTTCGTATACTCTGGAACTTGTAGAATAAATAGTTCGTAGACTCAGGAACTTGTAGAATAAATAGTTCGTAGACTCAGGAACTTGTAGAATAAATAGTTCGTATACTCAGGAACTTGTGGAATAAATAGTCCGTAGATTCTGGAACTTGTAGAATAAATGGTCCGTAGACTCAGGAACTTGTAGAATAAATAGTTCGTAGATTCAGGAACTTGTAGAATAAATAGTTCGTAGACTCAGGAACTTGTAGAATAAATAGTTCGGAGACTCAGGAACTTGTAGAATAATTAGTTCGTAGACTCAGGAACTTGTAGAATAAATGGTTCGTAGACTCAGGAACTTGTAGAATAAATAATGCGTATACCCAGAAACTTGTAGAATAAATAGTTCGTATACTCTGGAACATGTAGAATAAATAGTGTGTAGACTCAAGAACTTGTAGTATAAATAGTTCGTAGACCCAGGAACTTGTAGAATAAATAGTTCGTATACTCTGGAACTTGTAGAATAAATAGTTCGTATACTCTGGAACTTGTAGAATAAGTAGTTTGTAGACTCAGGAACTTGTAGAATAAATAGTTCGTAGATTCGGGAACTTGTAGAATAAATAGTTCGTAGACTCGGGAACTTGTAGAATAAATAGTTCGTAGACTCGGGAACTTGTAGAATAGATAGTTAGAAGACTCAGAAACTTGTGGAATAAATAGTCCGTAGACTCAGGAACTTGTAGAATAAATAGTCCGTAGACTCAGGAACTTGTAGAATAAATAGTTTGTAGACTCAGGAACTTGTAGAATAAATTGTTTGTAGACTCAGTAACTTGTAGAATAAATAGTTTGTAGACTCAGGAACTTGTAGAATAAATAGTTTGTAGACTCAGGAACTTGTAGAATAAATAGTTTGTAGACTCAGGAACTTGTAGAATAAATTGTTTTTAGACTCAGGAACTTGTAGAATAAATAGTTTGTAGACTCAGGAACTTGTAGAATAAATTGTTTGTAGACTCAGTAACTTGTAGAATAAATAGTTTGTAGACTCAGGAACTTGTAGAATAAATAGTTTGTAGACTCAGGAACTTGTAGAATAAATAGTTTGTAGACTCAGGAACTTGTAGAATAAATAGTTTGTAGACTCAGGAACTTGTAGAATAAATAGTTTGTAGACTCAGGAACTTGTAGAATAAATAGTCCGTATACTCAGGAACTTGTAGAATAAATAGTTTGTAGACTCGGGAACTTGTAGAATAAATAGTTTGTAGACTCGGGAACTTGTAGAATAAATAGTTTGTAGACTCAGGAACTTGTAGAATAAATTGTTCGTAGACCCAGGAACTTGTAGAATAAATAGTCCGTATACTCAGGAACTTGTAGAATAAATAGTTTGTAGACTCGGGAACTTGTAGAATAAATAGTTTGTAGACTCGGGAACTTGTAGAATAAATAGTTTTTAGACTCAGGAACTTGTAGAATAAATAGTTTGTAGACTCAGGAACTTGTAGAATAAATAGTTTGTAGACTCAGGAACTTGTAGAATAAATAGTTTGTAGACTCAGGAACTTGTAGAATAAATTGTTTGTAGACTCGGGAACTTGTAGAATAAATAGTTTATAGACTCGGGAACTTGTAGAATAGATAATTCACAGACTCGGGAACTTGTAGAATAAATAGTTCGTAGACTCGGGAACTTGTAGAATAGATAGTTAGAGACTCAGAACTTGTGGAATAAATAGTCCGTAGACT